CCTGATTAACAAATATATATTAAATTACTTAAATGAGTGTACTTTTAAGGTCTATTTATTTCCTAACCAAGTTAATCATTATTTTCATCATAATGTGATAACATCCTATATTTTTTGTAATATGTAGGTATAGGTATATTATGTATATTATGAATATATACAAAAAAATTGAGCTATAAACAATAAACTAACAAAATAGCAATATAAAAACCGTAAATATGCAAAAAATAGCAAAATAAAATTTCGTGTATGACATCAGAGAAGTGTGATACATATTTGTATCTCACTTTGGATGTTCTAGGACGAACAAAGAAAAATATACGTTTGCTAGAACTTCTGAGCCCTGCTAATAAGATTACAATAGACATTTAGTTATTTATATGCAATATATTTTAAATATATATACACAGAATTTAAATAATTGAGTTATATAGGTACTTACAATCTAAACTAAATGATATCGTTGGTAGTATCAAACATTTTTATTTAATTGAGAAAGATCTTTTTTTCTGGTTTTGGAATCGGCCAAATAGAAATCATTTTTTGAAGTCTAGTTTATTAGCTGCCTACATGTTTTTCTATATTTAAAATAGGAATATTAGAAAGGCGATCCTGCTATTTCCTGTCCATTCTATTCCTCAAATAGTTTTTGATCAACCTAAAATGAAAATGTTTTGAATGACCTTTCCGCCATTGCTACAGTCACAGGTAGTGAAATATAAATTATTCAGTTATAACTTATAAGTTATAACATCGCAGTATGTGGTATGAAAATTATTTTTAATTATAAACAAAGAGATTTTATTGTTTGAATTATTGTGCTTAATCACTTTAATAATCCTCTTAAACACAATAATTGCCTGGTAAAATCTGGAGAAAAGTCATTATTATGTAAATGAAAAAAATTCTATTGAAGCCTCAGCGATTTCATTTACAACCAATTCTATCAACATTGTAGGTAATAAAAATGTAAATTCGGTGTTAAGTACTTGTTATAGTCCCTGAAACCTACTGATATCATTAGACGAAAAAACGAGTACTCGCTCAGCCCAATATCCATTAATTGCACATCATCTAAATTCTGAGTACTTAGTACCTACCTTATGATATGCTGAACTCGGAAATATTTATTGCATATCTTTTCTTTTGTAAATTTTGTCAATCTTGAAACAACTGAACATATTAAACAATTTAAAATTTAATTTAAAAAAAAGTTATTGTATAATTTTCATTTTTCTTTTTTAAATTTATAACAGTTTTTGTTTTGTGACAAAATATTTTTAATTTGAGAAAATATGATTTTTGATGAATAAATAATACAATAATAATATATTCTTTAATATGAAATATAGGCTGAATATTCTCTGATCTATGAAGTCTGGGAGACGTATTAATATGCAAAATACATTTATTTCTACGAATGCTGTACTGAATAATTCTAAATTTTTCACCCATGTTGAGCTGCATAAGGTCATACAATTATAAATTTATGTAAATACCTAAAAATAAGTATACCAACAAGACGTGATAGACAAGTAGAACTACTAAGTTGACAACCAAATATAATACCTATTAAGCCAAAAATGTTGGTAACTAATATAATAAATGTAACAAAATATAAAAAGACATTTAATTAAAAAATATCATTATAGTCCTCGTACTCCTCGATATAATATAGTGGTCACTCAGGAAACTGGGGTTCGAATTACTGCTGGGTAGAAAATTTTTTTTTTCACTGTATCATAATTCATAATAGTACACTGTAATACTATTTTATACCTAACCTAACCTATCCAACGATACTTATATTATGTTATACGCTATGGCCATGGGTATATCAGTATGTGTCTACATTAAATACTTATTATACGTTGATATTAAATTATAGATAACATAGTTATATAAATCATTTTTCTGTATTATGACATTTTTTAAATAATAACCTATGTACTGTATACGTTAAAGGTATTTAAAAAACTAAATAACATATAAATATAAATAGGTGTTTGGGTATATCTATCTATATGAAGTGTTTTAATATAATTTCCTAATTAACATTCTTACTTCTAATATTCATAATATTACCTATACATTTTAAGCGACTTATGAGTAGTTTTAAACATCAATATTTTTACATATAGGTTCTATCATATCGCACTTAATAACTAAAATATTGAATAAAAGCAACCATTTTATGCGTTACTACAACGGAGAAAACACATATGGGTGCGACGTCATCTAAATAATTAGGTATCACTTTTATTGAATTAGTAGCTAGTAGGCAAGCAAAATAAATAATAAGTAGGTACCATAATTCTACCAAAAATTAGTTGGTTTAAAGTTGTTTGTAAGTATAAACTTACTGGCTATATAATAATTTCTAGCGTCTATTACACTGTACCATAAGAGGATAGATAGGTATAATGAATACCTACAACTATAGGTACATTCTAATAGGTACCTAATGGCTAATATCTATACCTATAATTGAATGTAAAGTGCATATTTATAAAAAGCGGATATAACTGGATGACGCTCTGCTGTACAGTAGGTTACAAGTGGGTCACTTGAACGGGTTAAATTTGAATTCAATGATATAATATAATTGTACACGAAAAACGATTCTGAGTGGAGACGGTTTGTCAGCCTAGGATATTTTAAATTATAATTTATTTTAAGTTTGTAATATAAAGTACTATGCACTTTATACTATGTACTGGTAACTAACGGACAAAGACAGCGGAGATATAAGGTGCTCTAAACTTATGTTTAAAAAAATCTAAAAGAATAAAAGAGTCTCTTAGAGATAAAAATGAAGTATTGGGGGCATTAGGGCTCGTTTTTGGTTCCTGTGCACAATATCAACGTTAAGTTTCGTCTGTATTATTAATATAGAATTTCAGTTAAAATCGTTTTTATATCAAAACGATTTTCTACAAACCCACCTCACTTATCGGAGGGGGTAGCATATAAGCTCCCCCGCACCAGCAGGCTAGCTACTTTCACAATCTGCACGGAGGAGTATGACCGATAGTTTTACGTCGTCTAAACTCTGTAGTCTATAGTGTCTATCTGTAACCTTCGTTGTCATTTTCATCTCTCGTATCTGCGATAGGCCGTACAGGTTTCGTTTTCGATCGAGTATAGCCGTATTGATATGTCACAATCTCGGCACTCGTAATAATATAATCCGTCATATCTTCGTGATAGGTATCAGGAAGCAGTCAATCATCATCTATCAGCGGGCGTCAGCCGTAACAACACAAGTCAAATCGCAAGAGGCGCTATAGAAACAAGTTAAGCAATCGATAGGTAACCATAATATTTTAATATCATTTACTTTATTCTTAGTTTACACCTTTTAGCATGATCAATGCAGCATCGTTTATTCCATAGAAATACGTTGGTAATTTATAATATAATAATATACATCCCGGGTAGAAATATTGATTTTCAGTTAGTGTCAGTAGTTATATTTATTGGTCCTGGACTGGTGCCAGACACCAGTCCAACACTTACATTTGAATACGACAAGATCATTGAAAGTGTAAAGTTTGGACACCGGTGTCTAAATAGGGTCTATAAAATAAATATGGACTTGTGTCTGAACAGCGTATTTATGGGTCTGGGGGGCAAATGGGGTCTGTACCCTCTCCATTGACCGTACATAATTTGTACATGATCTAAAGTTATAACTGATAAAGTGACAAGATGTCATGATAAAAAATGTGAGATAAGTTATAGACTGTGCAGTATGTATAATTTTAACTTTTTGTTTGTGTCAACCCCTCCCCCCATATACATTTCTAAATACACCCCTGAAAAGATGTGTATACGTATGTATGTACCTATACACACCACAATTTAAGATATATCTTGAATCGTAATAATGAATCGTGGTCATAGGTTAGGCAATTGTACAGGGTGTTTCAAAAGTCTTCATCCGATTACGAACTGATATAGTTCGGCAACGGTTAATCGCAAGTTAGCAACCCATGTATTAATGCTTGACTGATTAATAAAACTTACCTATTTTAAGAATATATTTTACTTTATTTCACCCTTATATATATGTTCATTTTTAAAATAAATATACATTTTTAAAAACGGATTTAGACTTTTGATACAGCCTGCATAATGAATAAAATAAAAGTAAGATAATATTTGTTTTTAATAATAAGTACCTACTGTTCTTTTATTACATACATTTTGCCTATTGTAATTATAATAGAACCAAGCAATTTCCTTAAAGATTATTTGACTCATATTGTCTAGACCAAGGATGACTTATGACATGCAGATTTAAACATAAATCATAATTTTTATTTTACCTACTATCTAAAATATTTTAGATTTAAATATTTTCTCAATTTGAAAAATCAGTGGCTTAAATTTCTCATACTTCAACGATAATTTGAATTTTGAATTTATTATAATAATATTTACATTAAGTTTTACAGTAACTTTCATATATTATTAGGTACCTATATAGGTTTAACAACAAGGGCACCAGCAGGATGAAATCCTACACGGTGCAAGACATAAGAATTACTTATAATCTAATAATAGTTATGGTGATATTCATATTAATATACATACAGTTAAAAATGCTTAGGGGGCAGGGACAATGGCCCCTTTGGCCCCCTTGTATAACAATATTTACTTACATCCGCTAACTAAACTCGAAGACTCAAATAATACTTATGAATTGGTTATCTCAGAAATTTCAGAAATGAGAAAAAATACGATTTAATAATATTGTTGTAAGCGATGGCGTATGATGGGTAAACCGACATTACAATTAATTAATTGAACTACTTACTAAAATAATAAATACTTTTAATTATTGTTACAATAATTATACTGCACCGGTGTATCTAGTACAATGCGTTAGTAATAATCTATCATAATATAATGTAGTTTCACTCGTTCATCTGAAATCACGTGGCAAAAATATTAATTTGAAAATCGTCCTGTGTATAACGCACAGAATTTTATTACTACGGAGGCGGCGGCTGCTGTGCCATGAAATCTTTGGGCGGCGGCTTCGCCGTCGCATCAACGACGGTCGCGTGGTTGACGCCACCGACGACACCACTTCCGGTACCGACGGCAGGCCGGTGCTCGTTATTATTTGACTGGTATCCGGTGGCGTACACGCTGAATTCGTCCGTGTCATCCTTTAAATGGACGTAGGCTGTCATAGATTCCTTGGCCTCGGCTAGCTGGGCAGTGAGGTTGTTCACTAGTGCCTGGGCGCAGCGGACGACGTCGCGCTGCTCAGCCAGCTGGCGAGACGCTGTGTCGGCCGCCCACACAGACTCACAGTATTCGCAGTTGGCTACGTTCATTCGGTTTGCCACTTCGAACAGTATGGCCGTTGACTTTTCCCGTTCGTCCGTGGCAGCAGCCAGCTGGCCGACCAGCGACTTCACGTCCAGCGCCAGCTGATCGTCGAGGTTCTTGCTGGCGATCGCTTCGGTGGTTAAACAATCGATGAGCTCTCGTTGCCGCTCTGCAGAGCACTCTTTGTCCGAGCACTCCGCTAACACGTGCGTTGTTGGTTGTTTCGGTGACGATGACGAACCTTTTTTCACGGTACAACTATTGGACATACATCACCAAAAAAAAAAATGAATAAATTACACGGTAACGAATTCAGATTTAAGGCACAAATATACATGATCAGTGCAACATATAATAATAACCGTCATCAACCACCGATCTAGGGGCACCATCAGCGATGCATTTCTTATAATGAATTATATCTACATAAAAATGTCAAATTACATTTTTTCTCTCTACAAAATACCTATTAAAGTATCTTTTAATTTTATTTTCGTTCGATTTAGTACAATAGTCAATAGTTAATGGAATATGCGGTACTAATGGATTAAATGTATTATATCTGCGTACCTAAATAACTGTAAATAGGAAGGTACCTACTGTTGTTTAATTAAAATTGTTTACATTAGTTAGTGTATCCCTCGTAGTATATATGTGGCACATGGTTTTAGATTCATTATAATATATACGTACCTATGTAAAATAGAATTATAGGTGTCCAAAGTAAATACGTTCGATGCGTTGAAAAATAAATCCGATTGTTTATATTAGCATTATTTTATATACACAATAATATTTTTAAAATATTTTATTTGTTTTAAACTATTTACGGGCATATTAAGTTTCTAATTTCTTAGTTTTTTTTCTATAAATGTCAATACAATTTTATTTGTAGGGTAAAACACTTGAAAATTTAGTACAAGGCTCCTAATATATTGTTATACAATGACATTTTAAAAATATTAAAAATCCAATTACATAATTTTTATTTATAAGCATTTAAAGATGAAAATTCAGGGACTGGATCCTTGATGATTTTACGGTTTCGGTTCCTATTCAGTTCCCAGAAAAACTAAAATTTCGGTTCTGGTTCCAGTTCGGTTCCCAGAAAAACTAAAATTTAGGTTTTAGTTTGTTTTCGGTTCTTAAAAAATAAAATATTTGTTACCTGTTTTGGTTTTATACTTATGTAAAAAAATGTATAAAGTAAAAGTATCGGTTCCAGATTTTAAATTAATTTAAATAAGGTTCCCTCCAAGGTTCCGGTATTAATATTAATTTAATTAATTGTTTCGGCGAGGTTTTGGTTCCCAATATTCAAAGGGTTCCGGTTCTAAAACCTGGTTTTTTCGGTAAGGTTTCAGTACCTGGACTTCAAATTTGACAAATTACGTAAAAACCACGAAAATGTGCAAATTATTTTGAGTTAGAAATTCATAAAATTTTTTTTATAAATCCATGATTTAAAAATGTAATACAAGATTCCTCATATTATGTTTATCTACCAAACAGATACCAATCAAAAATCTCTAAGGAAAAGTCAAAATTAATTTTTTTATGAGTTTTTGAAGCTCAAATTTGTACAACAAAGGATTTTCATTTGATTTCACATACATCATTTGAGAAATGATAATATTTTGTGAATTTTTTATAGGGCTTGAATATTGAATATTAGACTAATAATATTTTATAAAATATATTTTCTTCTAATGATGACAAAATATTCTACTAATATGATTGCATAAAAATGTTGAGTTAATATTTTTATAAAGTTTCGGTAAAAATGTTTTTGAAAATACATGATTAAAATTTAATAAAACATTAATAAAACATTTTCAAAAATATGAACTTCTTGGCCAACGAAAATAACTAAAATATTTCTTAATAGTTAATTATTTAAGCAACTTCCTTATATTTTGACAACTATGTTATTTTTCTTAAAATTTTTTTTTGCCATAGTTAAGAAATATTTTTATGCTTTGTGGGTTCTCATGTAGTGATTTTCTTACTTTGTTGTAAATTAAAAATCAATAACGGTAGACACTTGAAATTTACACCACAAGTTTATTTTAGGTATCTATTTCTATACTTGATAATATTTTCAAAATACTTTGACTAGTTTTGAGCTGTTTACGGACATATTGAGTTTCCAATTATTTTTAGCATTATTTTTTTTAAGCATTTTTAGTTTGAATTTTGACAAATGTATCACATTTAAAATTAGAAAAGTAGGTAAGTGGATGATGCTGTTTGATGTCCTGCTGTACGGTAGGATACAAATGGGTCTCTGTAATGGATGGTGTTAAATTTAAATTCATGATATAATATCATTATATAAGAAAAACGATTCTGAGCGATAACGGTCAGTCAGCCTATGATATTACCAAGTATATTTGATGATATTAGTGTGAATAAAGTAATTTATATACATATAATCTATTTAAGTGGAACCTTGTTTTAAATTTTCAATCCTTAGCCATAAAAATTGAACATTTTATAAAGTTTTAATTACAAAATAATTATTAAATTTTGTGAGAATTCGAAATTTATATGCTTATAAAAAAAAATATGTGCATATGTGTTTGTAATATTTTTCAAGTACTATTGTAACAATATATCAGAAGCCTTGCATTAAATGTTGACTCTTTTTTACAAATAAAATTGTATTGATATTTATAGAAAAAAAAACTAAAAAAATTGAAAACTGACAATGTCCGTAAAGAACTCAATAAGAGTCAAAATATTTTCAAAATATAATGGTGTATAGAAAATGAAAGTATAAACATTCAGTAAAATTTTCATATACCTACAGTAGTTATTCGTTTTTGAATAACAATAAAATAACAAAACAGCTACTTGAGAATCCTAGTAAATATCGATCTTCTAAAGAAATTAACTTCAAACGCTCATAAAAATTTAATTTGATTTGCTTGTAAACATTTTTTTTTGATAAAAATAGACAAACTTGTGAGGAATCTTATATTAAATTTTCCGTATATTGTCAATATTTGAAATTTAAATGCTTATAAAAAAAAAATTGTGTCCAAAGATTTTTAATATTTTGCAACTACTATTGTAACAATATAGTAGGAGCCTTCTATTAAATTCTCAATCCTTTTTACTGCACAAATAAAGTTTTATTGACATTCATAGAAAAAAAAGACTAATAAAATTGGAAACTGGAAATGTTCCTAAACAGTTCAAAACAAATCAAAATGTTTTGAAAATTGTATGGTGTATAGAAAATGTAAATATAAACGACCAGTGAAAGTTTCATGTATATACGTTCATTTGTTTCAGAGTTACTCTAAAAACCAAAATCGATTTTGTGGAAAACCAAATTCCCGTTTTTCCTTAATTTGTATATTGTTTTTTAAAACTATTATTAATTTTAAAATTTGACCTTCTGTATGCACCAACTAGATTAATCTTCCTAGTTCCTATCGAACAAGATACTGTTTAAGAAAATCAAAGCAACTTTACTGCCCCAAACGGGGGTGACATACAAAAAAAAACACACACACATCATTGTCAAATCAATACATTATACATTCATCGTTCCACTAAGAATCTAAAATGATTTTGTAGTAAACATTTATAAAATGTTCAAATTTTATAGCTCATGATTGAACATTTCGAACAAGGTTCCACGTTAGTAGGTTATTCTGTAACCGAAATATCTAATAAATATAAAAACAGGTTGTTTTTATAGTTATTTTATGTTGAAATTTGGATGAAATTAGATATTAAATAACCAAGAATAAATTTATAATAATTCAACTTACCGGCAACCTTATTAGTAATAACTAATAAGTTATAACAATATAAATATCCACACTAACAAACCATCTCCGCTCAGAATTGTTTTTCGTATATATCATTGAATTCAAATTTAATACCATCCATTTCAGTGACCCAATTGTAACCTATAATTGTACAGCAGAGTAACACCCATTTGCCAACTTTTTTTTCATTATTAATTGACCAATAAAATAAATTATAGGTACTGATATAACAGACTTATCATCTTAAAACCCAAAATCAACAATGTATACTAATATTAGGTATACCTTTGCTGAGCTGCAGCGATTTGTGCCTTAGACAAGCCGCATAGATTTTCAAGTGGAGGCACTGAACTTATGTTGTACATGGAGTATATAAATTGCGACCGTGTAGCTTTGAACGCAACTACAAGCAACTTCACCAAAATAAGCCATTTCATCTTTTTGCTTCGTGATAAATATGATTTAATTTATTCATAAATTTAATCCTAACACAACAGGAAAAATGTTATTGTTTGAAAAATATTATTTTTCCAATTTCCATAGAAAACAATTAGTATAGCTTACATAATATACTATAATTAGTAATTACAAGACATACACATTTTGAGTAGTAATGAGCCAGAATAAAGAGTTTCGCGAAATTATAAATATCTAAAAAGTAAAAATTTACGTTTTTACACCAATATGGTTAATTATACGATAGAATTAATTTTTAAAAAATGTTATAACTTATAATATATTTACAACGTTAAACAAAAAACAAAGAATTAAATAATGTTTAAAAATATAATAAAAATAACTAAACAAAAAAATTCTTATAACGTTTAGAAGTACAGTTAACAATATAATATACCTCATAATAATAAACATTTAAATTGTACCTAAACATTTAAATAGTGAAAAGTGAAATCTTAAAAAATGATATCTACCTATATTTTATTTTAAGCCCTGATCAACACTTATGTTATTTAAAAAAAAAAATGACAATAATACCTAGGCCTCTTGACCAAAAATCATAAATAGTTTTTTTGTTGGACTTGACAACCACATGCAAAACTACATCTACTGTTTAACTATACATCTCAAATGAGGTCCATTTTGACAGCATTACAACCGTTTTTTTGATTTGCTAAAAAAATAATTGTCTTCAAAAATTTTAAATTGTTCAGCAAAATTACGCAAAATAACATTTATAATCTGCAAATTTAAAAAATTGCAAATATAAATGATGTTGAAATGGAGCTCTTGAAATGTGTGTAAAACATAATATTATTGTTTGACCCACATTTTATCACCCTAATTACAAAAATTATGAATTAATATTACATGGGCTACCCATGCGTAGTTTGATGTTTTTAATAATTTAATATGTTAATATAATATAACAAGTTAATT